TCAATCAAAGGTAAGAATTTTCTTAGATGTGTTTGGGCTGATAAAAAGTTTTTAAAAAAGTTTTTAGACACATTAAAATCCACATTTACTGACCCAGGAACGTCTCCACGGCGCTCAGAGCTTGCTGGTCCGTCACCAGCTCAGAGATGATGGAGATCTCTCCACTCTGACTGAACTCAAACGCCTTCCTGCAAACCGTCTTCGCTCCGAGACACTTGGCCTCGCTGTGGAGACACAGAGGAGGGGGGGGGGGGGGTCGGTTGGGCTGCATTCAAAGACCGCAGGAAACATCTGAACTCCTTTACCCTCTCACCTAGTGATGTCATCCAGCGTGACCAACCTCCCCGCTTTAACCGCAGCGTTGAAACAGTCGGCACCCACCGTCTCCATAGCGATGACGGGTACATCTGTCCAGCCCACGTCCTTCAGGCCCTGGATGACTCCGCAGAGGAGCCCCCCCCCCGCCCACAGACAGCAGCACTGCTCCAGGCTTCTCCTCCAGAGAGGCTGCCACCTCAGAGATCACAGTGCTGTGGCCCTGCCTGAGAGGAGAGCACGATGTTAGTCATTACGTCGTGACTTTAGTAGTTTGATATTAGGAGATTTGAATTGTGAGGAGTACCAGAGCAGGGGGTGATCGAATGGAGGAACATAGGTGAGTCCTTCAGTCTCTGCCAGTCTCAGAGCCTCTGTATTGGCATCATCCCAAACCTGGGGAGAAGAACTGATTTGATTTTCTCTCCTTTGATTTTCATTTTTCCTTTATGTCTTTATTTAACAAGGACAGTGTCTAAAAACAAATGTCTACCTAAAGAAAAGAGATCATTGCAGCCAGATTAAGCTATTTCCATTTGCAGTTCCTGGACATCTACCAGCACATCCATAAATACAACGTAATATTACAACTAATGTCAACTGAAAATGTTATATTAAAGTCAGGTTAGCAAGACTGGTTCCCTCATTTTTATATATTTTGCACTGTAAGAAAAAGCGTAAAAGTCTATGCATGTTTCAGCGCATGATAAGCGTAAATGACTTTGCACATTGTTCAAAGGCAGGCTCACACCTCAAACCAAACAATGGTGATGATATATGCATGGCTGCCTCACTGAGTTGAGGGTCTGGCGGTTTTTCTAATAGACATATTGTTTTAGGGAAAGGTGGAGTAAGATCACCTGCAAGGCTGCGATACACATTCACCATCTTACCCCAAAAACAAACATCTAAACATCTTGTGTTCATTCCCGTTCTAAAGAATGAAGATAATTGCAGATGGGTCAGAAATATAAAACCAATGCACCTTTCCTGTGATGTTGACCGTGGCCCCCTGGTCCCTGAGCCTCTGCACCACCAGCTGAGGGGTGGAGGAGGGGACCACGATGGTGGCCGGGACACACATCTTCCTGGCTACGTACGCTGCTGCCATCCCAGCATTTCCACCTGGAGAACAGACACACTGGATGTATTACAGTCAGCATTGTTTTATTGAAATAGCATCAAAATATTTATAAAAACACAAGAAGTTCAAGTCAAAATGTGCAAATTGTACTATAATGTATAACACGTATAAGATTATATCAAATATTACAACAAATAATTATATATTAGACAACAATATTGTAGGGGTTGACTATTGGTGCTTTCATAACATATTTACGCAATTATATTTTTGATAAATGGCAGAATATTAAACCTAACATTGCTCCTGAAGGCATGTCTAAGGTATAGATGCGGATGTAAGTTGTTTGGATAAGAGTGTGAGCTAAAATGATAGACAGTATTATATTGATATATTGATACATATGAACCTTTATATAAACAGTCTATGATATTAACATGAGTCACAGTAGAAATGTCACCTGAAGAGCAGACGACTCCTTTAGAGTCTGTGGCCAGCTGTGGAAGAGAAAAGCATGTTAGTGTTATCTAAATGTTTAGCTGAGAGCAACAACATCATCAGTTATTGGCTGTTGGAGCTATATATTGATTTGTTATTCAATGGTTCAAATAATGTTTATAGTAAATGCATTATTATTTAGTGTAAGTATTTATGCTTTTATTTTGAAGGAGGTTTTGGGCCACTCTGTAATTTAGGGCACCTTGTGATTATTATGTATTTGAGACAGGTGGTGGTGGGATTGGCGCACCAGACGAGCATATGGTTTTTTAATATAGGAAATGCCACAGGAGAAATACGGGAAAGGTCAAAGAAAATCATTGTTTTTGATGAAACGTATCATTGGAATACGAGAAAATAAAGGAACAAAGACGACAATTTCTTGCCTGGACATTGACAATATTTACCTGCGTAACATTAGCTTACTGGTGCCCCAGCGAGAGTTTTAGTTTAAAGTGGACCTATCATGCTATATTTGAATAATATAGTGTAGGACCATACCTATATAAGGCATATTTATATATTTTTTTTTTCAAAATACCAAACAGATCATGCATTTTAGCCATGCCTCATTTCGCTCAATTTGACAATTTATAGCTCTGTTTTTGCAAGGGTTGATTCTGTGAGCAACAGCACCATCTAGAGGCCTGGCATATGTACTACAGCGTCTTCAGCGCTTTCGAACGGCAATGCCGTGGTTGTCTCCTCCTGATTGGTGGAGTTGGCCCAATAGCCGTAGCGCCACCGTCCTGACGTCAGGAAAGTGTTCAAATCTGGATCAGTTTTTATCAGATCCGTTGAAGCCCCTTTTTTAGAGATTTGGGTATGGAGGAAAATAGAGAGGGTTGTGTTTTCTGACACTTGGTGAGTTCCCTGGAACACCGGGGACACATATTCATGTATAAAAGACGTACCAAAGTGCATTTTGCATGATAGGTCCCCTTTAAGTTAGATTTTCTATTTTAATGATATATTTAGCTGCTACATTGGCCTATAATTGAATTGACTCAGTGTCAGATAGCGGAGGTGGGGGTCCTACCTGCTGGCAGAGGTGGCCGATGCCTCTGATCTTGAAGGAGCCCGAGGGCTGAGAGTTCTCCATCTTCAGGAACACGGGGGTCCCCACACGCTGGGTCATGCTGACGCTCTCCAGCAGGGGGGTGTTCAGGTGGAAAGGCCTCGCCATGGCGCCAAGCCTTTTAACTGAAATGCTAAACAAAAGTAAAGAAGAGTGAGAAGTGCGATGACAACATCCACCTTTAAGGAAGAGGTAAGTGAGAAGACCTTTAGCTAAGATTATTTTGGTCAAAGTAAAAGTCAGTAATAGTTCTCCAGTAATGGTGGCAGGAAGTTAGCAAGAGGCACTTCAATCTGTCTCTAGGGAGAAGGAGAGTATTTTGTACATATTATTAGCTGTCACAATGGTATTCCCTGTCCTATTGAGTCTTCAAAACAATAGGAGATTAAATTGAATAATTGTATTATATTTTATTATATTATATATGATCTATTTTTGGATCACTGCTTGTTAAATATATGCATATTTCCTGATTCAATAACAAACACAACAGAGACATTTCCCACAAAATAAAGTTAATATTAGTCATTCGACATTTGAAACATTTTTAATTTTAGGATAAAATAGCAATAGTCAAATCTGTTCAGAGATACATGGAAATAATCCTGGGCATTGTTTGTGAAAATACACATTTCCATACAACAGTATAAGTTATACCATGGTGGAATCATAGCGGAATGTATGGAAAGTGTATTGCCAATCTACTGTTATACTGTACAGTACAACCATCTACAGAAAGCTTTTCTTTCATTCATTTAGATATGTATTGTGTTTAGGGATAATTCATCCATTACTGTAGGTTGAAATGCATACTTTATTTTTAAGTCTTTAAGATCAGTAGAACATTAGTCCTTAAATAGGAGTGTATGAAAGCTAGCTCGTGTAGCAAGAGAGCATGGATGTATAATAAGCAAGAGAGCCATAGTAACCTCTCATGAATACTTAAAGTAACGTGACGTAATGTTACAGAAAGGTAACCATTGAATGACGTGCATTACTAAATTGACTCGTCATTACATAACAGCGTGTTTCAACGAAGTAAAAGTTGACTTACGTTTGAATGAAACGTCAGGTTGAACGAGCTTTCGGTCTTTACCTGATAAGGTGGTTAATTTGTTAAAAAAATTATCATAGTTTCAATGCACGCTACATCATGCTAAATGATGTAGCCATCATGAGTAGCAGAGGTAGCGTCAAAACACGACCACTTCCGGGAACAAAATAAAATTGCAACTTCTAAAACTCTTTAAGAAATAACAGTATTTATTTATTGGGATATTTTTGGACCATAATGTATCAAATGTACACAACACTATGATTAAAATTGCTATTTGAACGGCAATTTTTTATAAATGTGCACATGTCACTAAATGGGCTCAACTACCATGTTAAGACCTGATTTGTGTCTTAAGGCCATCACATTATTATTTTGCCTACGTTAAACTTTAAGGCAATGCAAGTGGGCTAAACATGCAGTATATTACAATATATTCAGGAAAAAGAGAAAAAAAAAGCATGGAATCAGCAGAAGTTCTATAAATAAATAAACCTTTGTTTATATATTTGTGATGGCCAGAGAAATTCACAGATAAACCTCCAGGCATATATTTTGGTTGTTCCAACAACTCTTTCTTATCTTATACTGTTTTATGTGGTAACATTACACATTTTTGTATTTTAAGTCAGTATTGTTTAGCTCTTGAAACAAGGGAAGGTTGTATAATTTCCTTGGATTAAAACACTATTTGCAAATGGTTGCAATATATAGACTTTAAGTAGAAATAAACTTACGTGTGAAGAAAACTTCTGTCGGTGCAGCGACTTTAATGACCTGAGAACTCTAAAGTCCACCATTTATTACCAGGCTTGGATGATGGAATGTGTGTGTGTTCGTGTGTGTGCGTGTATGTGTGTGTGTATGTGTGAGAGTGTTTGAGTATTTATGATGTTTTTTCCCCTCATTATTCACGTTTCTATGACACAATCTTGAGTAAATCAGTGACAGAATTGTTTCTCTGTAGGGATTATAATTTCTTTATTATTATTATTATCATACATTAGCCGTGTAGTTACAGGTTGCATATACACAAAGTAATGGTTCACACACCTCATTCTCACACCAAACATCACAACTTATTGCCTCATATTTTACACAGCATGTTCTGTACACTAGGGGGCAGCAGTGAGTGGTGCCAGCACTGACATGAAGAAAGGACAGCAGTGTTTCTAATAATAACAGTAACAGTAGAAAAACAAGTGTTTAAATAAAACAACAAATCATTGGCATTAAACATTAACTTTTGAGAAGGTCACATTGTTTTCACACTTTAGATTCTTCATTTTAACACTATAGCAGTTACCCATGGAATATGTGTACAATTATATTTTTCAATGTTTTATTGTGGATGGGGAACACAGGCTTATCATATTGTTGCGTTCCAACCTGGTATCAGTATTGCCAATATGTGCCAGGCCCTATACTGGAGAAGGTATTTTGTGGTTTTATTTAAATGTGTACAAAATTGTCACCTCCTTATTCCCATTTCATAGCTGCTTTGGTTTGACAACATTATTCAAATTTCAAAAATCCTTTTCTCACATTCTTCGGTTTCCTTACTTCCTCCTCTCTTACCAGCAGCAACCATTCTACAGTTAAACAGATGTTAATATGACAGCATGCACCAGTGCTGAGTCGAGTTGTGCAGTAATGACATACTTCAGTCCCACCTGGAGGTTAGCATCGCAAGGGCTCTCTAGAAAAAAAGTCAATGGAATTTTTCTATTGGATTTGGGAATATTCCAGAAAATAAACTCTGGGGCATACACATGGATCTGTTGCTTACACGCTTTGTTCAGCAGGATAACCTCCACATATTAACACCACTTTATGACTCGTGAAGCGTCAAAGCTATCACCACAAGTCAAAAGCTAACATCAGAATCACATGACTTCAGGTCACCACGGCTAAGCTAAAGGTGGCTAATGGTCGGCGTGATGACGTTTAGTCTTATTTAGAAGCAAGTAAGCAACCGCTGTTTTAACGACTGATATTCACAAGTGTGGTGTTTACTGACGTATTTCATGTCGCAGGACAAAGCGTGAAAGTCTCTTCAGCTTGGGTTAACCACAGACCTTAATACAGGCATCTAACAAAAAACATGTAAAAAAAAAAAGGTGAGAATAAAAAATAAATAAAATGCTAACTCATCTCCTAGGTTTAGGACTCATTCCCGCACCACTCTATAGTAAACGTTTGAGACATTCATAATAATTTACAGATGCTCCTTTTATTATTTTGCCAGAAATGAAATATTCTTCTGGTATCAGTTCAAACTAAAGTTTTTTTTACCATGCCATAACATTTTATTGTCAACATGTGGTTTGCTGTGGATCACCATGCATCATAAACTTGCTGGATCCTGTTTTGTTAGTCTTGTGGTTGCACATCCAACTTTACTCCAGACTAACACTGCTCCATCTAAATCCCTTTAACACATTCAGAGACACACTACCTCACTTTCCTCTCTCCTGCTTCTCTTTCACACTTACTTGGACCTGTACTGCATTTCAATCTTCTCTCCACTTCTTCTTACACCATACAAAAATAAAGTTCAAATATGAGGTTATTTGGATGAATGTCAGTATGAATCTGAGCTCGTGTTTTCATGTCCTGAGCCTCAAGATATTTTTCTACTTAGCTTCTCTCATGCAGCTGAACTAGTGTGAAGTTGCCAAGCTCAAAATAACAGGCAATTTCCTTTTACTGCAGTGAAAATATATATTATGATTCTAGCATAAAGTGGCTTTGTGGTTCCAGCATCACATCCAAACAAATGGAAAAAGTTTCTGCGAGCTCCTTCTTTGTTTTCTCTTCTTCCTGCTACCTTTGTTCTTTCTTCCCCTGGCTAATGCTTCCTCCCACATGCGGCTCCTCTTCTTCTCTGTGCATGCGCGTGTGCACGTAGCGTCTGATCTGGGCTTTACGCCAGTGAGCGTTGTCTGGGTTTGATCCTTGGATACAGCTGGAGAGAGAAAGAGAGGGCAGGGTTATTACATCATGTTAACATGGCTCTCAAGGTGGCTGAACATCATGAAGCCATCTGAAGACACTGAGGGGACAAAGAGTTTCCTCTGCTGATCACAGCTCGTTCACTAGAAGAGTGTGGGTACATTTACATTTCACATACTTCTTTCTGTTAATGCCAAGGCACACAGTGATGGACAGTTTTATTAAGGCTTTATAGCTGGCTTTACTGGTACAATAAATGAGTTCTGAGCATTCTGCCCTGCCTGAGGCTTCAGCGGCTCTGCACAGAAGCACCAGCCCTGTCCAAGAATGCATAGTTCCCTCACCCTGTGTGAAAGACAATTATATTATTCTAACCAAACAACGGTTGTCTTATACTTTTCCCAGTGACTAACATTGGGAAAGTGATGTCTGTGAATCAGCGTTGATGATTTTATTCATCAACTGCTTGATGTTCTATCTTTGTATGTTTCTTTAATTTATTATTCTTTACATTTTTTCATATATATTTTTTAATTGTATGTATTTTTTGTGTGGAAGAAATGAAACTTTGTAACATGTTGAAATGCTTAATTTAAGTATTCAAACCCCACTTACTCAGTAAAAACTGAATTACACAAGAATGAAGTTATTAAAAGTTGTAAAATACGCTAAAAGTAGAATCTAGACTTATTTTCTGTCTCAGTTCATTAAGTGGAGCTGAGAACGAACGTGAGGCGTAACTGGGGTTTAAGGCAGGGAGGCGGGGCTTAATGCATCACAAATGCGCATGGTCTTTGGTCGAATTGGAAATGGAAGAGTGCCTGAAAACGTTCATAGGAAAATTAGAAGCCCCCCCTCCAGTGCTGTATCCAGCTCACTCTCTTAATGGTCCAACTATTCATTCCAATACATTTGATACAGAAAGAATCATTCTACAGTATGAAGACTCCATCTAATCTGTTTCTCTGATGGTTCATTATTTTGTTTGTTTTCATGTTACTGTTAGTATTGGTTAATAAGCAACTGTGATTGACCCACCATTTCTTTTTGAGTAAGGGGCAGGTAACTTAGGACTTACTACTCCCATGTGAACGGCTCCGAGTTCCACATGCTTTCTGAATAGTTTTGTCTGTATTTCCGTGAGTGAAACTAATAAAAAGATTATATGAACAAATATATATATTTATGGAAAGGTGTCTGTTGAAATAGTGTCTTAGCGTTCTCTCACCCCCAGTAGGTTCCTGGGTACGTATCCCTCGCGGTCGCTAAGTCGCGACCACCACCATTCCGTCTCGGTGTCGTCACGGCGACGCAGCACGGTGAGGGCGTCGCCCTCGCTGAAGGACAGCTCATCGGCCTGCTGGGCCGTGTAGTCCCACAGAGTGTACACCAGGCCTTTGTTCATCACACCCAACTTCTCCTGGACGCCTGTGAGAGGTACAGAGTGTTCATGGTTAGAATTACAACTTCAGTTATGATGATGTTGCTTTCAGTAGAGATTTAACAGTTTTTAAAGTTGTTTTTGAGTTACGTTTTGTTGGGTCACAATGTTTCTGTCTGTATGAACCTACCATAGAGGAACTGGGAACACTGGGTATAGCCCTCCTCCATTTCTTCACATTTGTCTGCTGCTGTTTCCACGTCACTAATTGTTGTGGCAAAAATGGCCGCCCCTGACTCCACCAGCATCTTACAGAGGTGGACGCTGTTACAGGAAGCTGCACAATGCAAAGGAGTCCTGGAAGGGAAAATATTAAAATATGATTTAAAAAAGACTCAAAACTCAATCGAGAAAGCACAAACATGTTTCCGTAATGCACTTGTAGTAAATACTAAAGAGGGTTAACACAATTAATGTCATTGAGAAACATTTATTTATTAAACATGAAGCCAGTAAAATGCATCTGTAATTAAATCAAGTAACTTCGGGTTTTGGATCCTCATTAGACTTGCTAATCTCTTCCCACAATACTGCCCGGGCAGCTGAGTCAAAAGTGAATTTGGAAATGCAATTATGTGTGTCATTGTTGCCTCTGAGCCGCAGCATCACAGAGCGTGTTCATTACCCAAACACCCTGCAGCCCTTCAGCAGCCACTGTGCTATTATTAGTCTGGACTATTACATGATTGAGCGAGCGGCTGAAGGTACTGACCATCCATCACTGTCAGCTGCGTTCACATTGACTCCAAAGTCCAGCAGGAACTTCACAATGTGGTGATGGCCCGCACACACGGCATTGTGAAGAGGAGTGATGCCTTCGTCATTTGGCATACTGGGGTTTTCCACCTGAAGGAGATAATGAAAAGATATAAACAGATATCAGAATGATTTGCTATTTAAAGAAGCCGTATTCTGTTTTTTATGGTTTGCCCTTCCCTGTAGTGTGTATACGTTTTTGTGCATGTAAATGGTCTGCAAGGCTAAAATCCCTGTGTTCCCTCCAGAGGGAGTTTCTCTCCCAAACACTCCCCCCCTGCCTGAAACGCCTCCATTGGTCCCCTTTGTTTACTTCTCTACACAGTGACATCACTATGTAACACTCGCGCTTCTATTGGCTTGCGCTCCAACACATTGTGATAGGCTAAGGGGCGGGACATCTCTAAGCGGTTGAACAATCACAACAGAGCTGGCCAGCTAACCAATCAGAGCAGACTGGGCTCTGGTTTCAGACAGAGGGTGAAAAGAGGTGCTGCAGCACAGGCAGTATGAGAAGAAAAAATTGCTTTTTGAACATTAAAGCATGGAGACATGTCACAGGAGAGACACTCAATACAATTATGAACCTAAAAATTAGCATTATATGTCCTATTTAAAGCAACAATGGAAGAATGCCAAAAATATCCATATTGGTATCACAGTTCTCTTAAACCTCTGTGAAGTGTGTCTGAATTCTCAGCAAAACTGGAGATGATGCATTGTTTTTGTAACATTCTTGAAGTTGTCTTGTTTCTGGATATAAAGCATTTGCATGTTTCCTTAAGCTAGAGTTTGATGAGTGAGTCAGCACTTTTCTCAAGTCTCCAATGGCGCATTTCCACTGCAGCGCATAGCAGGGTTTAAGCGTGCCGTGCCAAACCTGGCCCGCTTTTTTTTTGCTTTTCCACTAGGGGTAGTTCCGGCTCAGAGCTACTTTTTCACCTTGTTTCTGGCCCTCCCAAATCGAGGTTCTTACCGGGCCAACAACCGGGCTGAATATGCTAAACAAGTGACGTAAACACTCTCGACTGCTGAATGGTCAGAGAGAATGGCTGGCAAGAGGGCTACAACTACATGAACATATTTTACCGTGATTTTATTGTAATACACGTTTCAAAATGATGCCGAAGTAACAACATACTGATACCGGTCTGCAGACAAGACGGCAGGCGGAAAACCTTTTAAAATGCGTGTTTTCTGAATGGAGATCGGACCGAACAGGCTAAGCTAACGTTGTATATGCTCCGACCGTCCACACTCACAACAACGGCCTATACAGACATAAATAAAGCAGCGACTGTATTCACCATGACACAGGCAGTCTGTGGTTTGTACTTGTTTAACTGTTGTCTAGTTTCTGAACAGATATGAGGAGCTGTGAGCTCTGAGTGCTAACAGCTAACGGCTGATGCTGGTTTTGTGGTTCGCATTGAAGATGACGTCACGGCTCCGCCTACACTGCGTTACTATAGTTACTGCCCCAGCTACTAAACTGTAATGGAAACGCAGCATGAAGAGAGCCACAAGTGTCAGAGATAGACAGGAGCTGCTCTTAAAAATGTAAGGCTTTGTTCTCCGGAGCTATCTTTGATACCGAGTGTGTCTGTGTCTTCAACAATAACTTCCACCACCTGACTACTGAGATCAGTTCTCCCCTGACAGAGCTACTGAGGGTCATAGATATTGTTCTTACTAAGTAATGTCAGAAAGATATTTAAAATTATCTGTTAAGGCAGTCTGGTGTGTGGGTGCACAGTTCATGTTGAAAAGATCTATTATTGCATAACAAAATGTGTTTCATTTATCACATCATTGTATAAAAAGCACAACTTTTTAGAGGTGTATAAGAACAAAACTGTTTCTCATTATATTTCAATCTGCTCGACACAGAGCCCCAAGGTTAAAGATTATCTCGTTAGATATTTACTTACTAATGCTATACAAATGTTGTTGCTTCAGACCAATCTCCTTAAGAAGATCAACCGCTCAATTGACTTATTTTGATACCAGACAGTTAGGGTTTATACCAGGGGTACTCAAATACAAATCTTAAAGGTCCAAAAAAATTGTTTCAATAAGACAAAGGTCCGTTTATTACGGTCATTCAAACTTTTAAACAATTGCAACAAGATTCTTAACACGAGGTTGCAAAAACAAAAATAATCTGAATGCAGCAGTTTTCATTGTTATTGTGTCTGTGCTTGATCCCTCAGAGTCGCAGTGTAAGAGCTGCACAGTTATGAATAAAGGCAGCTGCACCCTCTTTCCTTCAGCATTCCCATTATTGCTTTATAAATGTCTTGCCCCCTTGTGTGTCCACTGAGGTTCGTCAGGCCCAACACATCAACAAACTCCCCCTTTGCCTCATCATAAAAACTCACAAACACCAGCAACTGAGCATTGTCAGTGGTGTCAGTGGACTCATCCACAGCTAAGGAAATGCACTGTGCATTTTTTATTCCATTACAAAGCTGATTAATCAAATCACCAGCCAGTATTTATGTTCTTCTTGTTGCTGTGGAATCTGAGAGGGGGATTTGCTTGATTTGACCTGTTATTTCCTCTTTTTGTTTGCCTTCAAACAGGGTCTCCATCACTTCAGTCATGCATTCTTTTATACTTCAGTTATTATCCAGTGGAATGTCCTTACCTACTGGCCTAGTTAAATCAAAGTGGTTACTTTCTGTTGGCTGGGCAGTGTAGTTTTACACACCGTCTTATTTGACTTTCTCAGGACTTAAAACTGTTTTTTGGGGGCAGACCCCCACGAAGAAAAATATATATTTACACATGTAAGGTCATCATCTTAACAGTGTTGTATGCTCATCCGTGAGCAGAGCATCAAGTTGACATGTCTATTACAGCTGAATACGGCGATTACCATTTTGTTCAGCAAAACGCCTCACAAAATTATTAAGATCAACAGCTTTAGTGCGTTTTGATTCAATGCTGAGTACAGCCAAACTTGAGTCTCTTCTCTGTCATTGTAGACCGCAAATACCTCATTCCTTCAGTACTTGGGTCAATCATATTTCCACGCTCGCGCCAGGGCCGGGGGAGGGGTTACAAGACGTGCATCTTGTGCTGCATTCACTTGCACTCGGACATTAGAGACTTTCTCTCATAAATGTCAGATGAGCCACAACTTTTCTTTCAAAACAAAGCTGCCAACTGGGGTGGCAGCTGGGGTGGAAAGGCCTATTTTTAGGGTGGCAGTTGCCACCCCATGCCACCCCGGTAGGTGAAACTAGGCTACTAGCTACAGTACAGATGCAGCTAGATGAGCTGTTAACTCTCGCTCTGACTTTTTTTTTTTTAAACTCTTGCTCTGACTCAGACAGGTTGAAAGAGACGACACACGCATTTTTCCCACCCGCAATCCGCGAAGACCCGCCCTACTGTGCCTCTGATTCGCAGACTGTTGGTGGGGGGGAAAAAACGCTGACGGGATGCTGAATGTGATTGGACCAATGCGTTGACAGACACACACAGACAGTGGAACAGTCGTACATGCAGAGCGCTGTTTGCAGTGGACATAGCGGATAATTTTGACTCGTTGCGTTGTGGCGATGTCTCGCAGATAACACAGAAAATACAGATAATACATATGAAAAGTATAATTTGCTCAGAGTCCAGAGACAGTTGTGGTTCGGTCCGGATCCGGACCAGAGTCCGGACTTTGAGGATGCCTGGTTTATACCATACCGCAAGGCTGGATATGCAAAAACAAGTATTGATAAGGGCAGTACCTGAATAAATAAAATAATCGACTCAACAATAACATTCAATACTATTGATCAATATATTTATTCGATCATCATAAAAAGTAAAGAATGTAGCACACCTGATGTTTAGGTCCTTTTTAAGACACAACATCTCTCCACAGTTATGTATGGTGTACCTCAAGGCTTGGTACTCGGTCTCTTACCTTTTACTATGTATATGCTACTGTTTTTTGACCTTATTTGCCTTGCTCAAATAAATTGCACTTCTATGCAGAAGACATGTTCTATGTTGCTGTTAAAGCCAATAATCAATTTCCAGTGCTCTCAGTGCTCTAAGTTGTCCCTCTTCCTGTTTGTTGGAAAGAGCTGGCCTTCCCACTATCTTTAAACTTGCCCATTCCCCACCTGTTAAGCTGTGTGCTTTGACCCCATCCACGATGCTATGCATCCTCTGATCTGTACCATCTTACTCTTTCCTCTATTCTTTACACCACCTAGCTAGCCCATTGGACTGTGTTTGGTCTGGATAAAAGATACTGGACTTATCAGTATGTCCTTTTCTTTTGGTATATTGGTATGTTGGACTTTAACGTGATTACATTTGTGTTGAAGCTAGGGTAGGTAACATATGAAATACCAGCAAGAGTAAACTATCCAGCCAAAACCCTTCCAAATGTTGCCAACTCTTTTAAAATAAAAGCAGCAAGCATCACTGACAGGCCGTCTCTTCTGGCCTCCCTCCAAAGCTCCTTCTCATCATTTTCGTTATGGATTGAAACATAATGTAAAGAACATAATAAACCAACCTGGCTATTGTTTGTACTCAAAACTGTCAAGCTAGCACATTGTTGAAGCCTACAGGCAGTGTGAGCAGGGAGACAGGCAGGTTCGGCTGTCCAATCGTTTTATTCGGGTTGAATACAATTATTGGCCTAGTTACAGTCCTGCAACATTTGAATTTTTTGATTGCTGTCGGGATGTAAAGAGTATTTTAACAGATAAAACAAAAAAAAGTATTATCAATACATAATACACCCAAGGTTTGAACCCTGTGACAACAAATGGGTCCAAGATGTCTGAGAGTGGTTATCTCTTGAATTGCCTCTCAATAAGTGTCCAGTGTGCGAAAAAGCACACGTCCCACCGTCCGGGACGTGTTAGTTACAATATTGTTTTTTTCTCACACTGGTGTCTTCATAGGAATTTTGGAGGGTGTTTTTGTTCTTGTTTTCTTTCAAAGCATTTCTAATGTCAGCTTGTAGAGCCCTTGGTTCAATTTAAGATGGAGCTGTACAGATCAACTTGGCTTGTAATGTAATGTAATACATATAGTGGAACAAAAACATGATATTGTGTTACCTCATATATAATCCTCTGCACAAGGTCAAACTCTCCCTCTAAGGAAGCGTCCAGCAGTAGAGCCAGAGGGTTAAACTTCACTCTCAGCCCGTGGCCCGTTCGCTCTGATGACGGTTTCTTTAGGTTGGTTCGCTTCACCTGCAGCACACAGGGAGAAAAAAAGTGTTGACGGTGCAGAAAATGAATTGCTAAGTGTGCACTAAGTGCTAAACTTGACACATTAGCCTTCACAGAGAACAATTACTTAGGTTTAGGTTATTGGTAAAATAATATACAAAGCAGAGCGAAAAAAACAACTTAGGCAAACAGAAGCTTTATCTTCGATATCAGGTGTAATTACAATCTATGCCTACCTTAGGTTTTGAAGGGGGGGCAGGAGGGGATGTTGAGGGGGAGGAGTGGCCTACAGAGCCGTGTGCAGGACTTAATCCTTTCTTGTTGTTGTTCTGGTCCTCCGGCCTATCAGGTGCAGAGGGTGGGCTGGATCGGGTCGGTGGTGACACGTTTTTGGTAGTTTCTGCTTTTGCTGACGTCTCTTTGGGTGTTTCTATGGCAACAGAAGGGGGGGACGAGCGGGGAGAGCCCGAGTTCAGGTTTTGGACCTCCCCCTCGGCGGTTGCCGTATTCATGTGCTTGTCTCCAGGTTCTACATTCCCATTGGATGAATGGATGTTGTCCACTTCACCCAAAGTGCAGTCAGGCTGGTAGAAGGTATTACCTGCAATTAAGATCAAGAAACAACTGACCATCAAAATCATTAGGATCACTGAGAAACATTACACAGACCAACTGAATCCAACTGGCCAAAAGGTGTTACGTGTTACAGTACATTTTCGTAGTGGCCAAACGGATGTACTACAACTTCTGTTTCAGTCACCTGGTGCCTTTGGGCCCAAAAAGACGTTAGACTTATTGGGAAAGAAATGTTTTAAGTCATTAGCTTGGTGAGCAATGCGCTAAAAGTTGAATCCAGAGTTATTATTCCCTCTCTGTTCTTTTCACTGAGCTGAAACCAGTCGTGACAGAGCCAAATGGAGGCGGGGCTTAAAGAAAATGCAAGTGAGCAGGGCCCAGATCCCCTGGTAATTAGCGTATTTCTGTACTCGAGTGAATAAACAAGGCCCCGCCCTCCAGCGCTGTATCCAGTTTCATTGAGGGAAGGCCATATTATCGAATCAGGTTCTTACCTGAGCCTCCTTCCATGCCTCCTGCCAACGTGTTGAACCTGCAATAGACAACACAAAATAAGTTTTAATAAGGGTGCTGCAACCTTGATTCATCGCCAGAGAGTAACTGTTTCATATCAGTTTCATAAAAAAAAATTGTTTTCACTATTCCATTAAAGAATTAGAGCTAATAGATTAATATTACATATCCTCCATCACTCATGTTTTTCTTTGATTGATCAAATCCTTCTAAACATATCCTGTTTTTCTTCTTTTCTACTAAATGTGTGGTCTTAACCGTAAGAGAATATCCAGGATTCTATGTCCATAAATGCACCACCTTAATATTGAGTTGTTCACTGAATATTACCCCTTCCCCTGCCCAATGTAATAAACCTTTGTAAGAGCACAGACCTCTGGTATAATAGTTTTTGGATGTTTGGCCCCTGGGGACCCTCAGGCTCAGTGATGGAGCTACGTTTCTTCAGGGGCCGCGGGGCATTGCTGAGGCGTCGTCGCAGAACCTCCAGGTCAGCATCGCTCTGGTAACGCAGCTGGGAGTGGGCTGTAGAGGGCAAAGGATTATGGGATTATTTATGTTATGTTCACAACTACAAGTTTCTTATTCTAGAATTTGTTTATTTTCATGTTGATATTAATCTGCTACAGAAACCTTCACTTAATTGGAGGTATTTTTCTTCAAATTTAGAACAAAACATTTTTTTTCCTAGGAAATAATCGCAAGAGAAATAAATCCTTCAATCAATGATAAAGAAAGTACAGTGTTGCATTTTCACCCCTTACCCCTTATTTGCATTAGGGTTTTCACAGATTTCTACTTAATTTACACTGCAGCATGGCAGCACAATGATCAGTGCCATTTATTCTCTGGTACTTACCGACTGGGGTGAGCTTTGTGGGGCTGAGGGGGCGAGGGATGTTGTCCACAGTGGGTTGGGGGAGGATTTGCCTATCAGTACTCTCTCCTCCTTTCCCTCCTTCTTTATCGGTTACATCCTCTCCTCCTGCTTTTACTCCTCCTCCTCCCTGGAGGAAAGGGACAGGGGACGGATTGGTGGAGGAGGTGGGGAGGATAGGTTTGCCGTAGACTGTGGAGAGAAACGAAAAACAAGGTAGTTGTTAGATTAATTTTTCATTCTGGACATTGAATCAACATAGGTGGAGGAATGAATCCTAAAACCTGGAAACGAGTTAGCATTTTAGCACTTCGTAGTCAACGTTTTTTATAATGTGTTTGCAGTGGCGGCCGGTCCATAGGGGCGCTAGGGGCGCCGCCCCACCTCTTCCCATATTGAAAAAAATAAAAATAAATAATAATTAAAATTAAAATAAAAAAAAAAAATATGTTTAAAAAAAATATATATGTTTTTATTTTTATTTTTAATGAACAAGGTAAATATTATATAATTGGTATCAGTAAAATGTATAATCTACAATAAAATCTCGTTTAAAATTGTGTTACGATGTCTAAAGTTACTGATAAGTCACATGTTTCCTGCCTGGCCTTGCCCATGCACCTTCTCTCGTCTGGGCGCTAAGAGAGGAGCCTTCAACCAGTGCAGCAGCAGCCACCAGCAGCTGACTGTTGCTATCTGTAACGTGTAAACTATGCCGCGAAAATATAATTTCAGCCAATCAGCGTCGTCAAAGATGACGGTCACCGGGCGCCAATGTCAGCGCCCAGTGCAGTCTGTGAGTAGTTTGGACAGTGACTCGTATCCGGTTGACGCAGTAGTTGATGAGGATGGCTTCGTGTGCAGGTGGAGTCTCCGGACCTCGGTCCCCGCCTAATTCTGTTCAAGAGCTAATCTCCAATCCTTTCGAAAGGAGAAGTTTGGCAGATAAATTGTTGCTTAAAGACCTTGCACCGGACCAACCCGATTTGAATATATCGCAGCAATCTCGTGAAAAAGACAAAATGTATACACGAGGCTTCACAAGTAGCTGGTACACAAGAAAGGCTTGGCTAGCTGGATGCAAACAGGTAAATGCTGTCTTTTGTTTCCCATGCTTGGATATCACTTTATATGTAGAGAGGAGGTTTCCCATGGTTGTTAGAAGTTTATTAATAAGTGGGCATTTATCACAGAAGTGATTGTTCTGTCTCCACGTTTGTTGCATTGTCTGTGATGTATTTTCCAACGGTTATAGCTCCTGTTCTGTCCCAGCAACACTACACGGTTTGCAGCTCCACCACATTTTTGGTTTATCTTCGGTGTCGCTTAAAATCTGCTTCCCATCGGACTAAAACCTCCACGTAATCTGAAGACAGATACTTGAAGTTATTTAAACCTTTTGCAAACTTTATGTTCTTTCTTGCTCTAGCCTTGCCAGTTACATTGTACATAACACATATATTATCATTATGCTAACTGGTTGTTCGTGTTAGACGATGTAGCTTTTTCATTTCTGAGTTATTGCTATATGTAAATAAGCCTGTTTGTAAATAATCCTCAGAGAAACAAAGAAAAAACACAATTTATGACATTTTGTGCTGTGGTTATTTTTTTTAAATTGCATTTATTCACAGTTCAGTTTGAAATGCTGTAGTGACTTGTATTGAACCACTTAAATATTTATAATTAATGCTACTGAAAAGATGCTATTAATTTTATATCTCACATGCAGTTCACTGTAAAGCTACTTGGTGAAGGTGTTGGTTCATAAAACATGAACAGTTTTAAGAAAGAAAAAAACAGACCAGTTCTGAGAACACAAATTCCTGGTAAAGTAGTAGATGTTCAGGTTGATAAATAATATTTTCCACACTGAAGATTATGGAGGTATTGATCAGTCTTCTCATATTTTTAAGCCTCGATTTCTCCTTTCCCCCCCCCTCTAACATCACCAGAAGTCATCATTTAAGGGGTCATTTCTCGAAAAAAATTTCCGGGGGGAAACCCCCCGGGTAGGTCACTTACGGTACGTCAAGAGCCCCACCAAAAAAAAAGACCACCGGCCGCCACTGTGTGTTTGTAAGATGCCTGAAATAAGATCTGTGGTTAACAAAAGAGTTTTGCTCAACATTGTAAAAAACGTCAATAAATAACAACTGAGGTCGCATTCAAACCTAATAGTCCGCTTCTCTGGTGCGCACCAGACGACAGTTTGTTACATTGTTTCATTTTTCAGAAGGTTCGGTTTGTGTTCACACGGGCAAAATTCAAACGGACTATAAACCTTAAACACAAGTCATGTGCTCGGAAATGCTGTTCAACCATTGGTCAGACATTAAGGGGGTAAAAACGCAAATCCCGGCAATTTCTACCGGAGCCTCCGCCATGGAGCATCGGCCGGTTATTTTCATGCTGTTGTTAATCTGGAGAGCATATCAACAGCAACGGCGCATATGATTATATAATCAGACAACGTGCGATACAAAACATTATAACACAATGAGAGACGTTCTGCAGTCAGGAGGGGGTTTCACCGACGGCAGGTGGCTCTGACTTTTATGTATAGTTTTTAGTTTCATAGTTGTTTTTACTTTACACGACACTGCTTCACTCTTTCGCTAACGATTTTGAAGACACCCGCGTTCTTGTGACACGTAAATACTATGCTTCCTATGTTTTGGTGCGGACTGCGTTCACACCAGCGATGAACCGCTCCAGAGTTCACGAGCAAGCGGTCCGAGACCACCTATTTTAGCGGACCAGAGTCCGGTTGTTTAGTTCACTTAAGAGGTCTCGGACTGTGTTCACACCGACCCAAACGAATCGCACCAAGCGGCTAAACGCACCAGGGTTCGATTCAACCGGACTATAAAAGGCTGGTGTGAATGCGACCTTAGACTACTAATCGTCATCACACCAAACGTTAGCCGCCTTTAGCTTACAGGGTTCTTACACCTTTTACAAAGTCAAATTCAAGCACTTTTCAAGCATTTTCAAGGTGCATTTTCAAGCTTTTCAAGCATCTTACAGCTGTTGTAAATTACATATACACATACTTATACTCAAATGATTATTTCCCTACCTCACATTAAATCAGATGTTCTTTATGCTATAAACAACCAAATGTGTGTTTCATAATAGCATTCTACATGAGGATGAAAAATTAAAAATGTTAGAAAAGAAAACTAAGTTTAATATTTCAAAATGAGTGACCCATCTGTACGTAGACTGGGCATCCCATATAACCTGGCTGAGCCAATATAAAACAATCAGCCAAATAACTTTTCAATATATTATTGATTACTATTTTTGAGGTACTTTTAGGTTGGCAGTAAACACAAGTCAGAGGTAAATGGTTTACTTTTACTCCACTACATGTATTTAATACCTTTAGTTACTTTACAGATGTGGATGAATGATGTGAAATATAATCAAGTGTTAAATCAGACTTTAGTTCCACCTGGAGTAAATTCACAAGCTACTCTGTAGTATACAAAGTCATTCAAACTAGCTGCACCTTTACCAGCTTTGAGAACACTTTCATGATCAATCATTATAAAACATATCATATACAATTATTAGGGATGCTCCAATCGCCAATTTTGGAGCCGATCGCCGGAATCAGTATCGGCCGATACCGCTCTCTTTTCCTCTCTCCCCCTCTCTCTCTCTCCTGACAGCCCGTCAGTATCTCATGCAGCTCACTGATCCAGTAATGAGCGACCCGACAGTGAAGAATAAATATATTTATAACTAGTTTAGCTAGTTCCAGAGGTAGATAAAATAGCTAATAGTGTTAGGTCTAACTCTTAATGTGTGTTCTGCTCCGCTCACCGGTCCGTCACAGTGGGCGGAGCTGCAGGATTTCTGCTTCACACACACGTTGCATACCGCTATGTTATTGTCATTGTCGGACACTTAAAATACTGCCAGACTAGTGAAGCCATTTTGGCGAGCTTGTTTTGCCGCGCACAGAGAAAAGTGTCATGTATTTTACATGCAACGATAGCCTAATTTAAAATGCTCTACTCTGGCGTACCTTTCGTGTGGTGTGTGGCGTCAGCGCAGACTCTCGCATCGTTATTGTTGCACACTTTGCAGGAGGCTACTCGTGGGCTTGACCCTCGTCTTAGCCATGGCTTGTATTTGTCTTCTGCTAGCCAACGCTCGTTGAAACGGCAACCTCCTGGCATACTGTCATCTATCACTCTCATCAGAATGCCCAGGTCACACACGTAACAAAAACACTTGCCGGTCACGCGCATTGCGCGGGAAGGCCGGAGCGGAGCTGTTTTATGTAAAAGCGAAGCAATTAAGCGCGCTCCGACTTCTTTATTTTCTTTTAATCTAAAAAGCGAAGTAAAGCATTTACAATTTCAAGCACTTTATCCCAAATTCAAGCACCATTCCCAAAATTCAAGCACTTTTCAAACCTTGAAAACACCTCGTACAATTTCAAGCATTTTCAAGGATTTCCAGCACCCGTACGCACCCTGTAGCTTAGCTTTGATGATGCGCAGCCATGCGACTGTGATGTAGTTTCTTTAAAGCCTAACTTTAGCTCTTTATTCCTCACGATTGCATTTTGGTTAAAAAAATCACAAAGAGATGTTCAAATATGGAGATTATCCTGCTGAACAAAACGTTAAGTATCACGTGTGTTTACCAAAGATCTTATTCTTTAACAATATATCAAATATCCAATGCAAAAATCCCATTGCTTATTGTTGTGGAAACCATGGCGATGCTAACTTCATGGTCGGCCTACAAAAATACATTATTAGAACACCACTCTATTTAAATAACATCATATTTATTTGCAGTACAATGTGTACAAACCATTTGTTTGCCTTAGCTGAAAATGTAGGGACTTGGCTTGGTAACCAGAGGTTCATCGTTTCAATTTCCGGTATGACCAAGTACGGAGTGTGGACAGGTGCTTTGAGAGGTGCCAGTTCACCTCCTGGGCACTGATGAGCTGCCTTTAAGCAATGCACCAAAACCCCATACTGCTTCCTGGGCGCTGTGTATATAATAGCTGCTCCTAATACTAGGGTGGGTTAATGCTGAGGCTCGATTTAACTGTGTGTGTGGTGCTGTGTACATGTGTGACGATTAAACAGGGATACAATTAATCTCGTCCATGAATCTGCTGTTTAATGACCTGCTTTGACAGTAGTCCTGTTGCTCAGAGACCCATAGTTCTTGGCCTGCGGCTGCTGGAGGTACATGCTGTAAATGGAGCTGCTGTTCATGGTGGCGGGGCCCTTCCTCGGAGACTGGGGCCTGGAGGGATGGTCCGGGACGTACGGACGAACGGCCACCGCTGGAGGGGGGTCTGTTCGCTCTGTTTGTGGCTGGGAGGGGGAGCCTGACAGTATCCACAGAGAAGAGAAAATATTGCACTTAATAACCAGATTTGCAGGGGTTGTCATTAGTGGAGGGAAGCATTTGTTTAACCTTTAGACTTTTCTTGCTCAAAATGTGACCAAATGAAGACATTGTAGTCCCTATTAGTCACTTAAACATTGTGAAATATCATCCAGGTTGAAAAGTTGTCCCTTCAGTAACTCTAAAGTACCTTGGCTTGAGTTTGGAGGGACGGAGATCCGTTGCTGTATTTGTTGTGAAGAGGAAGACGATGAAGAGGAGATTGAGGAGGAATTTGCAGCGCTGGATCGGGGCCAGCCCAGTGTCCCGGGGGCCGAGCGGGGCAGGGAGCTGGAGGGGCAGTGATGCCCCGCCGCCTGGTGGCTGGCACTGGGGTAAGTACCATAACCAGAGGGAAGCTGGGGAGAGGGAGACGTGGAAATAAAGGACTATTTTCATGATAACTGTCACTATTATCTCCCCATGTCTTTTGCAGAAATAGATCCTTACCTGTTCTGGACTGTTGCTCCTCCAATCTGACACACTCTTACTCATGCTAGGCCATGATGCTTCATTAGCTAAACAGAGAGAGGAACATTTTAGATAAGGGACCAAGTTAAAACAAGAAAGGCAATTAAGGAGAGGAAAACATTTCAGATTAATATAAAAAATATAATAAAAAGGATATTTCAATTGAAAATATTATAGAAAACGACTGCCACTAAACATTGAACAATCATTATGTAGATTCTGTAAGAAACAGGAACCCCAGTTTCATTTGTTTTTTTAATTGTCCATATGTTCCAAGCAAGTGGACCAATATCCAAAATGGTCTAAAACCGCTTGATTGATTGATTTTAAATGTATACCTTTGAACATTTTGTTCTGGGTTCTGGATGAAAATAGTCCACAGGCAATAAACACAATTATTCTATTGGATATAGTATGTATTTTTAAAGCTCAAACAAAGAGTTATCTGAATTGAGTAGGAAAGAAATACTACAACAAACCATTTCAAGGTGGGTAAACACAACATGAAATGGGATCAAACGAGCTCTAACAAAGAGTACGGTTATATGGAAAAGTAAATGTGCTCTGCATTCCATGTGTGTTTTTTTCTTTCTTGGATGTATTCGCCTATTATTATTATTATGTTAAAGAGACTTTTATTATTTCTTTCTTTTTGTGTGTGAGCTGATATTACCATCTCATTATACGGCATGGCCTTTATGTGTATCTCTTGCTTCAGAGGAAAAAGAGGATACAGAGATACAAACAGGGAGAAAAATGCCAAAGAACAATATATGATAAAGACAGTTCAAGTAGGTAAAAGGTGGCACAGAGTTAGAGTCACAGCAACTTTAATATGAATGAAATTAGATCATATCTGGAGGAATTGAAGAAAAGAAGGGAAGCTAAATGGACGCTAAAGAGTAGCCTAAGTATTTTACAGTCACTGCTATTTACAGTAATCCCTCCAATACAAAGGACTCAAATAAAAACATATTATTATCCTAAAATGTAATTTATTCCAAGAACAACATAAAACGTTCCAGCTGTCATGCTCCATTATCTAGTACAACATAACAATTATGATATATTTGAAACAGATTCAATGGTCTCAACATAGAAAGAGGCTAGAAAGAGTATTAAATTGCTTAATAACTATGTTCACATTGGTGATTACAGAGTATTCTCCTTTGCAAACATATCATTTACATCCTGTAAGCAGCATGGTAATAGGACTGAAGTATCTCTGATCATGAGCTTTGGTGCAAATGTATGGGTATTGTAGTCGTTGTCATGGTAACGTCTGTATCTGATAATAGTAACTGGTAATTGCAGTCATAACATTTACTTATGGGTGCTGTTCTGCTATTTTGACAGAACAGTTATTGGTTAAATCTGAGAAACACAGAGAGTGAAATCTAAAACCCCACGTCACAGAAAGCTGCTGCCTTTCAGGTTTAAACTGACGGTGCAAAAATGCTGAGCTCTTAGAAAATGAAGCCTGCTAGCTCTGAAGGGTAGCAGTTTAACCCAGAGCCTGTCTCCACAGAGGTGGTGTTACATAACTTATAGGCACAGTTCACTGCAACACTAAGGCCACAGTACCGGAAAGTACTACATCTTGATTTACTGTTTTCTATCAACAAGTGACAATCGTGGAGGTTAAGTTGCCTAGCTAAATGCTTCACAGTTATATGGCAGTTAACCCTCACCTAACTTCTTCTTTTTGTTTGACCTCACTTACATACTTATAAACTGAAACCCAGCTAAAAGAAAGCAACCTTGTGAATGTGAACTTTTTTAGGACTGATATTATTATTGTTCTGAATCTTTTGGCAGCCTAAATGATTAATATCACAATTTGTCTGTGTCTGTGAGCATGCTAAAAAATATTAAAGACTTCAACCATGCAAGCAGCCCTCAGAGACATTAGCCTACTTTGGCACAGCTGTGCTCTGAGCTAAATGCTAACGTTAGCATGTTAAATTGCTGCATTGACAATGATAACATGCTGATGGAGAGCAGGTTATGTTAAACAGGGTCACTACCATAGTTCAGCATAATCACATGCTAACATTTGCTAGTTGTTACCAAACCCAAACTGCAACTGTGCCTAATGGATATGTCTTTATGTATGAAGGTATTTAGTCATAAACAAAAGTATTAGTCAAATTCAAATGTTCACCATTGTGCGATTGCCTAATATTATAACTTTACAGCCCATTTTGTAACTAATGGAAGCAGCATTCTCACTCTTTACATGTACTCCTAAGTAATTTAAACACAACAACATAAGAAAATATTGTCCAGGCTGTTACCCTTAAAGTTACCCTTTAAGTTACTCTTTTTTTAACAATACAGTCTCCAGCCATAGTAGCAGCTCTGACTGTCTTAATTTGGCATAATGGTGCCTTAAACATGTTTAGCATCATAGATCAGCATGATCACATGCTAATATTTGCTAGCAAACTGCAGCTGAGGCTAACAAAACTATTGGACTAATCGGAATTTTCACCTGACTACAGCAATGGAAAAGTCATCAAAGTCATTAAGTTATAGAGAATATATCTCCAAAGTGGTGAACTAAACAACCAACTTCTGAACAGACCATCTTACAATGCCACTAGCCTGGCTTAGAATAACTGAATCGTCCATTGAGGAACATTAAAATGCTATTGTCAGCGTTGGCCTACAGAATATTTAGGGTGAGACAACTTAGCCAAGCTCTCTGTAGCACAGCCCTTCACAGTTTTGGTACTTCCAGACTGATACTGATTAACTATTGAACCTGCACTCAGTGAGCGGTGCTGTGCAGCCTGTTGAGTGCTGCTGTAACCTGCTGACCTCAGGAACGAAACGGTCATGACAGGACACAAACAGTCTGAGCGAGGTGGAAACTTGGCCACCTGCCTGAGGGCTCAGATAAGAAGAGTCACTCAGTGTTGTAGAGGAAAGACAGTACAGTTTACAGCCCTGGCAGCATCTCCCTACACCTGATCAACACAGTCTCACGGCATTTCGTGTTATAGTCACGAAATGAATCTATTGATTCGTGTTCACCAACACCATTTCTCCATTTTTTTCGTGTCACACAGAACGATTTTAAAAGCAATGTAAATAATAACAAATTAGAAGGAAAAACAGATTTACAAAAATACAGATTTCAGTATTCTGACACAGAACGATTTTAGAAGCAATATATTTCTATTGGTAGTAGGCCTATGTTTCGTGCCTGCACCAAATAATAACAAATTAGAAGGAAAAAGAGATGACAAAAAATACAGATTTCAGTATTCTGAGGCTCTGAGCCATTTCTTTTCCTCGCGCACGGCAAATAAACTTCGACATTATACAATTTAAAATAAAAGGGATAGGGTTAGGCTTAGGGTAAGATATTGAGTAAGAAAATGTGTTTATGAACCACACAGCTTCCGGTCTTCCAAGACCCGACCGGACAAAAAGACGTGGTGCAGGCACGAAACATACTACCAATAGAAATACATTGCTTTTAAAATCGTTCTGTGACACGAAAAAAATGCGAAAATCGTGTTGGTGAACACGAATCAATAGATTAAATTAATTTCGTGACTAGCACACGAAATGCCGTGAGACTGGGTTGACCTGATGCAAAATACAAAGAGTGGCCTGGCTTCAGGTTCATTAGAAGTCTATCAAACACCTCACCACTCATCTTTGGAGAGCACGTAGTGTTGGTTTCTAAATCAGTGTAATCTTGAACTAAGGTATGATGATTTGGATCATTTGGGCCACATTTAAATATCATTTAGTCCAGAACACAGTTAGCATAGCATTAGCACAACATTTAGTATGAATTAAAGCAACAGTTCAACATTTGTATTCACCTTCTTGCTGAGAGTTGGAGGTACCTGTACTCTAAATATAAAGCTACTGCCAGGAGCTGTTTAGCTTAGCTTAGCATAAGCACTGGAAGCTGGTGGGAGGTTAACCTGGCTCTGTACAAAGGTAAGAAAGAAATCCTCCTATCAGCAACAACAAAGGCTTACTAATTAACAGGAAGAGATTCCAGGAAGTCGCTGAGCCCCGTCAAAACATCCATCACAGTCCCTTTAAAGGGCAAATTGTTGTTTTTAGCCAAAGAGCTAAGTTGTTTGGCCGCTTACTAGCTTTACATCTAGCCTACTGACATAAGAGTGGATTCAATCTTGTCCTATTACTTTTGGCAAGAAGGCAATTAAGTATATTTTCTCAAAATGTTGAACTGTTCCTACAAAATATATTTATATTTACAGATGATACTAAATTGAATAGTGCGTACTCTAATAATTTGAGCTGTTTGAAAGGACAGGTACATCTCCATTAGTCACTTATGGCGCAGTTCCACTGCAGCGCGGAGCTCGCTTTAAGCGTGCCGTGTCGTGCCGTCCCCTTTTTTGGTTGTGCTTCCACTAGGCCTAGTTCCAGCGCGGCACGGCGCGGGGCCACTTTTTCACCTCTTTTCTGGCCCTAGAAAATTGTGGTTCTATCGGGGCCAACAAACAGGGCTGAGTCGGGCTGAGTATGCTAAACTAGAGAGAGGAGCGCTGGCAAGAGGGCTAGAACTACAACAAGATGGACATATTTGACCGTGATTTAATTGTAATACACGTTTCAAAATGATGCCGAAGTAACAACATACTGATACCGGTTAGTAAAAACCATGAATTAATGCTTTGTCAAGTCTGCAGACAGACGGCAGGCGAAAAACCTTTTAAAATTCGTGTTTTTCTAGATGGAGATTGGCTAAGCTAACGCAGTATATGCCCCGACCGTCCACACTCACAACAACGGCCTATACAGACATAAATAAAGCAGCGACTGTATTCACCATGACACGGCAGTCTGTGGTTTGTACTTGTTTAACTTTTGTCGAGTTTCTGAACATATATAAGGAGCTGTGAGCTCTGAGTGCTAACAGCTAACGGCTGTGTTGTGTTTCTGGAGTTCTCATTGAAGATGACGTCACGGCTCCGCCTACACTGCGTTACTATAGTAACTACCCCAGTTCCTAAACTGTAATGGAAGCGCAGCATGAAGTGAGTCGGCCCTGTTAAGGCCCAACGCGGCCAAGCCGTACCGAGCCGTACCGAGTGTGGCCGAGGCCGACCGTGTAGTGGAAATGCGCCATTAGACACAAAAACGTTTAAAAAAGGTTAAAAGATTAAAAAACAAGTGTCTCTTGTGATAGCTTTATTTAACAGAAGCATCAGGGTTTTTAAAGCATTTGTTTTTTTATCATTAACTAAGGGTAATGTCACACCTACCACAACCCCATCCAATAGTTTACAATTGTTTTCTGAGAGGATAAGAGAGGACAGGAGGGCAGTAATCACAGGCGCTGCAGGTAGCATAGTTATATTACAGGACAACATTTGAACAAAATGCTAAACTGCAAAGGTGGGCTCCTGCTGAATTGACAATACAGCATTGTCAGACGCATGCCTTTGAAACAATCAATGTCAAGTACATGGAGACACAGCCCATGTCTCTCATGGCTACAAGGACACAGGACTTTCATGTAGAATTCCCATAATTGCAAATGGAACCAAATGTAGAAAATGTAACAAAAACCTGAACCTTGGTTTGGAAATGCAGGTGTGAAAAATACCTAAGTCAGCTTATACATTAAAGCTGTTGTTTCTGAAAACCTGGCTGCCAAATCCACATCAGCAAATATTAGTTTAGGTCAGTGGAATATAAAACCAAGTCTCACGGATTTTCTATGAATAATAAATGATTAGCTTGTATTCTATTGGGTATATATAATTCCTTGCTCAGATTTGTGTTTGCTCTAGGAACACTGTGTTAGCATTCAGTACAGTATCAGAGATATTCAGGCTAACGTTTGTTAGAGAGTCTAAATCTCTCAGATGACAGCAACAACATCTGCTTTACCGAAGATCTCTCCTTATCTGACTCACACACACTAACACACACACACCGTACTGTATATAGCTACAAGCGTACCTCAGACTTCCTTTCATTCATGCTTTGTGTCATTTGTTAGTCTGTTGACATGATTTACCACTGTGTGTTTTCCATGGTATTTAGGCTGTGGCATTTGCTTTGGCATTCAAGGGCACAATGGGATTTGTGTCAGTGCACATTCAAGACACTTGAGTAGTTAAACAGAGTGAGTAGAAATGCTTTGGCACTTCTGGCCAGGGTGTGCTGACATGTTACTGATAGACAAGTGTCTGACTGGCATACTGCAGAATTAGAATGGCATGATTCACATTACAGAGGTGCACTGATGACGTGTTTCTGTAGGCCGACCAGGATGTTAGCGTTGCAAAAACAAGGGGTTCTTTCCTTTGGATTTTGGAGAAAAAATCAGATCTGTGGCCAATACACATTGCTGATACCTACACATTTTGTTCAGCAGGATAATCTCCACATCTCAATAACAATCTTTTTGATTTTTATAGCTTAAAAACCATTGTCAGAAATAAAAAGAGCCAGCACTTGACAGCCACCACCATTTTCTTAGTTAAGTTTCGTTAACTACCGATCTTATTTCAGGCGTCTTTAAAACAAAAGTATGTTCCAAAAATGGTTGACTTCGAGATGAAGGAACCGGACTCATAACTGGGTTTTAGGACTCATTCCTGCACCACTCTGTGTTTGTTTTTTAGGCTTACTCTAGCTTTATGGATAGAAATAGAATTTTCTGTGTTAAAGGTCGACTTCCAAAAGACTCAGTTTCTTGCAGGCAGAGAAGCTTGATACCAATCTCTACACTGTCTCTACATTAACTATTAAGATTAGCCACATGACGGTTAGCTTGGCTTAGCATAGGGACGGCAACACGAGTCTATAGCTACTATTCACCCCTGCCCAGGCTTTGTGTTTCCTCAGATTATTTTCCGATGCTGTGTTTCCTAACCCTGAGCAGCTGCTGACTATCAGATGTCATGTCTGTGTCCTTATACACATGACCCTTTCATTTTTAGGTCATTTCTGTAGCTCATTCAATTATGTTTTCCTAACCATCTGTTCTGTATAGTAAGACAAAAACACTCAGCATTCTTGGTTTATATGTACCCTTCGATTGTTTTCCAGCCCAGGAGTCAAATTGAGAACCATTCTCTTTTGAAATTGATCTACCGTCAATAGAGTGGTGCAGGAAAGAGTCCTGACAGAGATTTTCTTTTAAATATGTCAGTTAATACACACTGGTAGATGTTCAAAGCTTTTGCATTTCTTAAAACCATTATTATCTAGCCCCTTGCTAACGAAACAAATGTAAAAGTAATGTTGATATGTGGAGTTTATTCTGACGAACAAAATGTGTACAGTAAGTATCACAAATCTGCAATATTCCTAAAACCATTGAAAAAATCCCATTGCTTTTTGTCAAGGGAGCCTTATAGATGCTAAATTCTAGGTCGGCCTACAGAAATACATGAAGAAAATACTGCACAGCACTATTGAGGTGAGTATCTTCCTCTAGCGCTCTGAAGGGACTCACTGTTGATACTGTGGCCCCCCTGAGGGGACCCAGGCCCCTCATGCGTCTCAGTGGGCTCTGACAGAACGATGTCTAAATCTGACACTTTCCATTGGCTGGGAGGCTTCCTGATGCCACTCCTGTCCTCCTCTGCACGGCCACACACACACCACGAAGGACAGTAACAACCACCAAAACAACACGGACATCATCACGATGACATCACAGGAACCACAAGCAAGCACCACCACAACAACAAGTGACATCACCAATAACATTAACACATTTAAGAGAACAACAACAGAAAAGGGAAGGAGGATGAAAAGGAGCCAACAAACAGGAAAAGGAAATAGAAAGCAAGTTAGAGCCCAGAAAGAGATATCAAAAAGTCAAACAAGTTGATCTAAAGCAGAAATTGCACCAACCTGAGAGGGAGCGAATGTGGCTGAGGGGGGTTGGTTTGGCTGGGGGGTCTGCAGGCATGGGGTACCCCGCCTCCTGCCTCCCCTCTGCTGGAACCTGGATGTAGGGGCAGACCGCCGCTACTCGCCCCGAGACTCCAGCGCCCGGGTGTGAGGAGGACTGAGGCGAGGACGGGCCTCCTCCATTCATACGACTCAACTGGAGGAGTGCAGAGAGGCAGGCTCAACACAATGAGGACATATCACATAGACCATATGATGGTCCAAGTGAACTAAGCAAAAACAAATATGAAACAGAAAAAAGTCATATACAGAGCCATGGTCTGCTGGAATTCTTTGCCAGTGAAAATGGCTTGAACATTTGTGGGGACACATTTTCAGATCAATTAAACATGCATGCAATATATGATTGGTCAACCGCTGAGAGATGTCCCGTCCCTTAGCATATCACGTACAAAGTGTTCAAGCGCTAGCAAATGTGTGTGTGGGAGAGAAAAGTCCCTCTGGAGGGAACACAGGGATTGCAACGTAGTAGGGCCCATTTGAGAAGCCTAATGACCTGGCTTCTCTGTCGCCAACCCGACTCAACAGGGCTGCTGTTTGTCATGTTCACAGAAAGAGAAACTTGGACAAGAAGAAACTCTGTGATAGTTTCTGATTAGCGCATGCACATTTTTGGGCCATTTTAGAATCAGTAGGCCATGGGGGAAATCCTTTTTTCAGTTTACATTACTTTTTTGAAAACTAATGCAGTGTCTGTGCCCTGCTCCTGCAAAGTGGGAGCAATGTTAGCTTTTCAATTTCCCACCAAAGTTTGCTAATATTATATGAACATTAGCTGCCTTTAGCTTAGCAATGATGATGATGATGTTTACAGTGTAGCTTAAGTGTCTCATTTCCAGATCGCAGCACTATTGAAAATAAATCGGTGTTCTAGTCATTTTTCTGAAAGATTGAAACAAATGATCACATCAAGACAAAGCTGTGTCCCCAGCTTCAATGAGGCCTATGCTGGTGCCCATTGTTCAAAGGTATAACAAAGAATGGTTCATCATTTTTATTGCAGAAATTATAATTGAACCGTGCCGGTGTGTTTGGACAAACATAATTTGTTTTGTTTGGCTTAATGATGTTTAAACGGAGGATCATTTTAGTTTTCATTCTGGTACCTATTTGTTCATTGAGAGAGACAAGCTGTTTTGTTTTTTTTATATATATATATATATGTTGTGTTTATGTGGCTATAGTGTGTAAATGTGTGTTTGACTTTTTGGGTGGCGACCCCAGGAAAAAATCAAATACTAATGCTAATTGGGATCGTGATGAAGACGTAAAAAAAAGAGTTGTACTACATGACAGTCAAGCTAACTTGAACCAAACTTAAAGGACACCTATCATGCTATATTTAAATGATATATTGTAAGGCCATACCTATATAAGGTATATTTATACGTTTCTGTTTTCAAAATACCAAACAGATCATGCATTTTAGCCATGCCTCATTTCGCTCTATGTGCTGTTCTCCAGCCCTGTTTTTGCAGGGGGCTGATTCTGTGAGCTGCAGCTGACCACGCCCCCCTGCAGGAGAGGGGAGCCGCTCTGATCAAGTCAGAAGAGGGGGAGAAAAATAGATCTCCGTCCTCCGTGTTTTATTATAGCCTATTATTATATAGAGTCTTTATTCATTTGTTTTAAAGCTCAATAAATAACAAAGAAGACCTATGACCGGCACTTTTCTCATTTTGTCCGGAAGATTTCAACTTTAACGGACATCTTGACCGGCGAAAGAAAACTGAAAACTCTGCCGCACGGTCCCCTCGTTCCTTGGAAGAGGCGGAGAGGTGGGTGTTTGTCATCTGCTGGTGGACTAACCGGAGAGAATTACAGTGCTTGCCTCGACGGGGAGGGATTGCATTGAATTAAAGCAGCAGGAGCAAACGCTTGCCTCGGGGAGGGAGAAAAACAGCCACAGCGGAGAATAAACAGAAGGGTAACCATGGTAACCATGCGCGGGAAGTCTTCTTCGCTGCTTTTGTGGCAGACTACAGCGCCACTTACAGGCCTGGCATATGTACTACAGCGTCTCCAGCGCTTTCGAGCGGCAATGGCCGGCCGTGGCCCAACCCCACATTCCCCTGATAGGTGGAGAGTTGGCCCAATAGCCGTAGCGCCACCGTCCTGACAGTGTTCAAATCTGGATCAGTCTGTATCAGATCCGTTGCAGCCCCTTTTTTAGAGATTTGGGTATGGAGGAAAATAGAGAGGGTTGTGTTTTCTGACACTTGGTGAGTTCCCTGGAACACCGGGGACACATATTCATGTATAAAAGACGTACAAAAGTGCATTTTGCATGATAGGTCCCCTTTAAGATAAATGCAACTGAGGTGTGTTTCAAAGATATGTTCAAAAAGACTTCAGCTTAGTGGCGTACCTCTGCTCTCTTCTTATGCAGTCGTTCCCTCAGGTCTCCGATGCGTTGGTCCATCACCGTCACCTGGGCGTTCCTCTTGTTCAGCAGATCCTTGTTCTGGGCCAGCTTGCTGCTCTGCTCCAGGTTATGACGGTTACGAGCCTGAAACACAAACAATAAGAAGTCGCACACACTCTTGAAGATATTGAAATGAAATGTTGTATTAAATATCTGATCGCTTGAAAATAAAGTATTATCGCATCCTATACAGAATGAGATGGTGTTACCTGTAGCTCCTGGTACAGTTTCCTCAGTTCCAGGGCTGCAGGACCAGACAGGGGTGATCCTTTCTGGCTAGTGTGTGGCCCCAGGGGCCCGCTGTGAGGCCCCTGAGCGTGTGGAGCAGAGTGTAGCTGAAGGCGTCCTTTCTTTAAATCATCCAGCTGCTGCGTCAACTGGTAAAAACATTTAGAAAGAACTTAAGGACTCATCCAAACTTAACGCTTTGCTAGGTCTTGACTGTTACAGTGAAATAGTGAGACGTTACCTGGTCCACTCTGACCACGGCAGACTGCAGCTCCGTCTGCTTCTCCTGGAACAGGCTGCTCACATGCTCAATCTCTGCAGCTGGACACACACAACAGGACATAGACATTTGAATTCACTATTTCAAGTACAATTACATTTCTTTCTTTTGCTTACTTATCAAGCCTATTTCAGAATCATAAATACTTTGTTTATGCTGAGGGGAATTGGGTTTTGTGACTGTTTTAGACTGAAATAATTAGTACAATTAAATACAAATATTTATATAAACATAAGAAGTGTAGGTAAAAGTATGCATTGAAAAGAAAAAATGAGATAAAATAAACAAGAAGTCAAAGTAAGAACGTGCAATAAAAGTAAAATATAATAAAGATGAATACACACAAAGTTATTGTAAAATGTATAAACATAAAAAGTCAAATAAAAATGTCCAATAAAAGATAAAACAAAATAGAGTTTAACATTTATTTTATATTACCATAAGAAGTTAAAGTAAAAACTGAAAATTGTACAACAATTTATAACATGTATTACAATATACATAATGGTTTATTAGTTAATAGGATATAAATGTTGAATTGCACATTTGAAGAGGGTTTGGCTGCTGATGGCGAGCATCCTTTCCAACAACAACAACAGTTACGTTTGTCTTTATGTTTGCAGGCCTGCATGCATTTACAGCAAAACTAATACAAACTAATCATATGTGGTTCATATATGGCTTATATTGATGTCAGTGTTTCCCCTAGGTTTACTGCTTTGGGGGGGGTGCTGCCTGAGCAGGGGGGGTTGGTGTTGGGATATTTTTTTTTAAATCCTCTTGAGCAGAGAGAGGAGCTGTGGACTATTGTTATTAATGCATCAGTGTTTCTTAGGGTCAAAATCACTAAACTAACAACTTAAAATGAAAGCGTTTAGTTTATTTAATAAAAGAGCACATGTTCAATGTGAAAAGTGACTGTAGATAGTTTAGTTGCAATTTGGTGCAGCGCCCCGCCAAGACAATGGTAGGGGAAACACTGGATGTATTAGTTTTTGATCAAGTGTATCTTCAGCCACACTTCGCCAAGGCTTTCCTCTCTATTGTATCATCAATATGTAGTCAGAACAGCAGCCACTTCTTTACAGAGTCTCTGCAGAGTGTTTGGGGCTCACAGAGGTTTCCGTTGATCAGTTTGCTGTAGTCCACCTGTCCTCTCATGGCGCGGATCTTCTTCAGCTTGGCTTCCTGCGTCTCCACCCGCTCCTTCAGCCGCTGCAGCTTCTCCGCCTCAGACTAAACCACAGAGAGGACACAAGCTCAAACACCCATCTCATTTCAGCTTTCATGTGACACAAATAAATGTTGAGATAAATAATCATTTTCAAGTTACTGGCTTCACCCAGCTTATATTCACCTAACAGACGGCCGTTAGTGGACATTGGTGATCATAATGAGGAGATTTTACAACAGGGCTTTAACCTATGGGCATCTGTGAAGTTAACTTCGAGGTATGCCTGCTAAAAAGTGTAATGAGCACCCTACAGTGCATATAGGATAAAAGGGTTTTGTTCTGCTGCCTTAAAGACACATGGAGCCCACCTGTGTCTGTCCATGGTTGGATCTGCCTCCCTGGTGAAGATACTTCAGTCTCTGCTCCTGGAAGAAAAGCAGAACGGGAGATTTTTTACTTTCACCTCACACATTATACGGAATATATGTGATGTTTTTTTTCCGTTGAGAATTTCATTTCTCAATTCTGACATGCAATGTAATAATATCTAAAAATGACTGCATTCTATTTAAAGAGGAGCTTGTTTCAGGATCCTAGTTTTGTTCATGCTGGCCCACAAAGACACCTAGGGCGTATACTACGAAGCGAGTTCAACATTTGACTTAGCTGGCCTGATAAAACTAAAACCCCTGATCAGAGCTAACAGGTACCAGGAAGCTGGTTATTGACTGTCTTTGTGAACCTGGGATTTTTCTTCAAGCTCTGTGCGCGATCTCAAAAGAATGAGCGTTGACTCATCTACCTCTTGGAAAGGATCGATCGCTGCGTTTAAGAATAGGCTATTAAAAAAATGTAATTTACCGGCCGATGCCTCCCATTATTTTTTAATTTGACAACCGCAGATTGAAAAGTAAAAAAATTTAAATAATTTGACTTGAGGGAAACGGGGAAATCAAAAAGTTTTTGGGCCATATTAAATCAAAATGAATTATATATTAGATAAATACCAATAGACTAATTAATTTACTAATTGGCTTTGTATTAGTCGCAATATACCAGCAGTGTAAGATGGATTTCGGAGGCATAAATAAATACATAACAAAAATGTATCGTTACTGCTTGAGTTTACATATAAAAGGTATTCCCTCAGCTGATAATCTGTGGCGCTTATTGATTGACTATACTGTAATGTGACACTATTGTCAAAATAAATAGTTAGTCAATGGCAGTATTTGCTACATTTCAAACCTAAACTCTGAACATAACCTGGGGCCTATACTACGAAGCAGGATTTTCGTTTAGCAAGCTAACTTCCTGGATTTCCGGTCCTACGATGCTGGTTCACTTCTTAGCGGGCTAGATAACTTATTGTGAACGGCTAGCCTCCGGAGCAGGATAGGTTCCAGGATAAAAGCACTGCCTGCTGACCAATCAGAGCTCAGTGTGCGGAGTTTAAAGCGATCAATTCATATGACAGGAGAAAGGAAATACAGTTTAAACTGCCGTTGCAGGAAAGACGGCCGGCCAAAATCACCGCTTGTGTGAACGTGAAAATTAATAGAATATCACCTCCCATCTTCAGAGCAATCTGACTATTATAACATTAGCGTTAAGAAAGCTTACTTAAATATCTGCCACAACTTAAGTAACCGGATCAAAGTAACATTACGTAGCCTACAGTCCGCGGCACTGTGAGTGCAGACGTCGATGTGTCCCATTATCATTCATATCATATCACATCATAATGTATCATATATTTCCTTTTTTGAGTCAGCTTCTTGAGCCGTATCTGGCGTGCAACACTCACAGTGTCACATACTGTATGCAGAAGTATTATTTTAAGCAACACATTAAGTTGACGAAACACTCGAGTCAAATGTAATTAAAGTCAGATCGTGTCTTAGCAGTGATATCATAAACCTGTTGATGTACGCATTCAAACGCTTTTTCTTTGACCAGCTGTATGCACCTTGCAGGTGCAGCTATGTGGCTTTTATCCTGGATAAAGTGTTTAAGTCATGGATGTTTAAAGTTTAACTTCTTCATATTTGACTAATATTATAGTTGACTTTTCATTCAGGAAGTATGACGCTGCGCTGTCAGTACGTGGCTTGTCCATGTTTGTGATTGGTCGAATGCTCCAAATACCACCCCTTTCATGTGAACGCGCACCTAACTAGATAGGACACGGCTGGCTTGAGCGATCCACTTGATAACCAGCGTCGTAGGACAGTTTAGCGAGAGCGTTTTTTTTTTGGATTTAGTCAACCGGATAACTCAAAACATATCCAGGTTATGTTGAACTAGATTCGTAGTATAGGCCCCTGGTCCGGAGCTTGGTGATCTACTATGTTAAAACACATCCACCTTTGTTATCGGGAAAACTCTGGCTTTAAGCTCTACATACCTACAGTAGTAGTACACCCCTCTGATGGAACATTGCATTTGTGTCACCTGTGCTTCTCCTGCTATGACAAGTCAATTTACACCATTACATTGTTATTATTTCACAGGGGAGATGACATCACATGTTTACCATCATAGCTCCACCCACTTTCAACCTGCCTTCAAGTCTAATTAGCCATTTCTCATTAAAACACTTGGCAGCACGATCCATCACCCTGCTTTACTTTCACCATGTTATGTCACATTTCTAAAACACGATCGATTAAAATACACTTATATTGATTTTCATTTATTTTGCATACACATATTATAAAGCAAGTAGAGGGAGAACAGACAGACGAGTGTGTGTGTTGCTGACTGAGGCAGTTTGCAGCTCACACACACTCAGAGGAAGAGGGAAATGGAATGTTGGCATGAAGCCTCCCATCATTCACCGGAAACACACACACACTCTGATAACACATTATATAATGGTAGCTCGTTTCAGTACATTCACAGGGCATGTGGAAGGTGCCAGGACAGGAGCTGTGTTTTCTTCTTGGAAGTCATCACTCACCTTTAGAAATGTTACGAGGATAGAAAGTGCCTCTACGCGGCTGCTGGGAGACTTTTCCATTCAGTGACTCAAGAAAATACTTGGAAACACTTACACACACTGGCTGGAAACACTTAAAAGCTGCCACTTAGAGGGAAAATTGCTGCTTTTAAAAACGCTGAGTATTAGCGTAACTTGGCCAAATAAAAAGTACCACAGTTGGCCTTGAAAAACCCAAATTGGCCAAATCTAAGCTGAAAGCTTTTTTATTACACTGTGACTAAACTTCATCAAATGAATTAAATAAATGTAAAGATGTTTTTTGGCTTGCCCTTCTGTGTCTTTCCTGGAGTTTTAATCTGTTTCAACTTCCCAGCAGCTCCCTGATGACCTCATTTCCTGTCAAATCAAAGGTCACTTCCTACTGTGGGAATGGCCATGATCTGTGCCTCACACACACACACACACACACACACACACACACACACACACACACACACACACACACACACACACACCACACACACACACTCACACACACACACACACACACACACACACACACACACACACACACCACACACACACACACACACACCACACACACACACACACACACACCACACACACACAGCTGATTACTTGCTATTGGCTCCAATGGTCTTTCCTGCCATACCTTAAACCCTGACCTGGATCACATGTCCTGTTTTCAAGGAAGACGTACAGAATGAGCCTTGCTCTCACACACACACACACACACACACACACACACACACACACACACACACACACACACACACACACACACACACACACACACACACACACACACACACACACACACACACACATTCCTCCAAAGACGTCACTTCTGGGGCCTCAAATACGACCTTTTAAGACAGACTCTAATGTAGATAACCTTACACTTACTGACAGGCAATCCATCCAACAGTTCTGTGTGTGTGTGTGTGTGTGTGTGTGTGTGTGTGTGTGTGTGTGTGTGTGTGTGTGTGTGTGTGTGTGTGTGTGTGTGTGTGTGTGTGTGTGTGTGTGTGTGTGTGTGTGTGTGTGGCATGCACAAGTTACCTTGGCGACCAACATCTGTTGCTGAGCCTCTATTTGTTGCTGTTGTCTTGTGGCCATTTCCTGGAGCTCCGAGAGGGTCAGCTCCACACGGGGAACCTACAACACGACAAAATAAAATGACATATAAATACTGTATGTCCATTGGAAAAACTTGTGTTTTCTCATCCATCACTGTTTTAATAATATTACAGAGTTTAGGCTTTTTTCAAAGATAAAAAATCCTCATCTGATTGATCTGGAACCCTCAACGGCTCAAAAAAAAATGTAAGCAAACGAATCACATTACCAAGTTTGACCCAAACTTCCTCCCGTTATTCCAGCGTGTATTTTTACCAGTAAGAATCATGATCATTACCTCGCCGTAGCGGCACATCTGTACTTATTCGCTTAAGGTGTGGTAAAGACAGAGGAAAGGCCTTTTGCCGAACCATGCTCCAGTTTCTTTAGAATATGCCCTGTGTACCGCACATTATACAGAGGGTGATCACTCTCTGTTTCAGCAGCTTTGTCGATGCATTAGCTAAGTGTCCGAAAATGTTGCGGACTTCTTGAAAATTATTCATACAGTAACCACACCAAACTTGTATTCATTTTCTCTCCCCACAAAATCAAGTCGAAACTAGTATTCTAAATCTGTGATTCGTCCCAGATTATTACAGTGATTAACGCAATGTTTTTGTTTTTAAATAGATTCACACCACCACCTTAAACGCAAAAAGAGCTTTATACTATAAAAACAGGGGAACATGGACCGTGTTAATCTCCAGGGATCGACCGGCACAAGAGTGTCGTAAGCAGTGTTGGGAAAGTTACTTCCAAAATGTAATACAGTACATATTACTTATTACTGTCTTTTTTAAGTAATAAGTAACATTACAATATTACTGTCTCTGAAATGTAATGAGTTACACTACTTTTATATTACTTTTGAGTTACTTTACCAAAATAACCGCTAGGTATTTGAAATGCTAAAATGTAGTTTAGTGCAGCTCATTATACATCCAGTGAAGGGCGATGTGGTATAGCATAACAACTGTGTAGGCCCTTAAGGCTACTAACAACTTGTATTACACGGCTTAGTTGAATACTGGATTCTGATTGTACATTCTTAACATGTGACACGGTGTTAATACAGTAGTACAGACCACTGTCAAGGACTATAATGAAGGTCGCTAAGGAGGATCAAGAAAGAGAAAGAAAAAGAGGTTAAAAGACGGAGCGATGGACGTCAGATAAATCACCAGAAGAAGGCAGAGAGGAAGTAAACAATAACAGGAACACGGAATGGGCTCTGCAGTTTGTTCAGTATATGGCCGTGTAATAAGCGGGATAATGTGCAGCGAGGCGGTCATTATGGGGAAAAGAACACCCGACAGGCGGATCAGGGAACCCGACACAAAGCGGAGGGATCTTGATCAGCCTGAAGGGTAAACACCAGGCTTACTAATCTACCCGCAACATTTTTCTCTGGTGTCGGAATGTCTCGCGATGTTTGTAATTCTTAAAAAACAAAACACCATTTAATTTCGGGTTAAAATGAGTTGTAACTGCATATATTACCCACATTTCATTAGTAATGCGTTACATTACTTCGTTACAGCAAAAAGTAACACATTACTGTAACTCCGTTACTTTTGTAACGCGTTACACCCAACACTGATCGTAAGGAAGTCTACCCTATAAACCATAGAAGTGTTTCGTTGTGTCATGTTGACCCAACGTTTATCTATGAGTTGTGAAATTGTGTAATCAAAATGATGTCAAACGAAATTCACTCTTGTCCTCCTCTTTCTATCAGCAACTATTCAGCTGCAAACACTGCTGTCCCTTCCACACACACACATTTGTCTTGCCTATTTCAGTGCACATTTAAAAGCAGTTAGCTCAGGCAAAGTACATATCTTAAAAACAAATGAATACAATTGTTACTGGATATTTTAGCATATACTCCATACATAAAGAACTTATAACGAAGACTGTTACTGAGAGTGACGGGAGATAAATGCTACACTACAGCTGCACACACACATCACCTCACACTTTAGGTCAAAGAGCCCCTTCAGTGTGCTACAGAAATGTTATTAGTCTAGCAGCTGGTGGCCTTGGCAGGGTGACAGAATTATAGTATTGGTTTGGGGGGAAATCGGTGGAATCTTATCTGCTCAGGGCTGTGACACACACATCAACCTCAGCTGGAAAAAAATCTAATCACACACATGATTTGTCCCATTTTTAAACTCAGAGGAGAGTTTTATCAAACCGAGCACACAGCGGAACACTTTGTCATGTAGCTGTTCTTCAGAACAAACATTTATAGGATTGTATTGTGTGTGTGTGTGTGTGTGTGTGTGTGTGTGTGTGTGTGTGTGTGTGTGTGTGTGTGTGTGTGTGTGTGTGTGTGTGTGTGTGTGTGTGTGTGAGGAGATGGGAGCAGAGGAATGCATTTAGCAGAAACAGCGGAAGGTGTTTGCCCGGTCACATCCTGCTATTGTGTACGCTCACTCATGGACACACGCAGACACACACACACTGCACCTGGTCTGATACGTTATTTCCAGCTTCTTTCTAAACCTCTGATTAGCTACTACACATCTAAAGCCGGTTTGTATGACCATGCAGCTCTGTACTGCATCTGTACTGTATCTGTACTGTAGATTATTACACTGCTTTGTTGAATACTAGATGTTTTTAATAACGACATTCTACGGTCTTTTATTTCTTTATATTACACGGCTTAGTTGAATACTCGATTATGATTGGTGAATTTAGACATTTCAGAGGTTGTTTATGTTTGGGCTCTGGCCAGGGCCGGTTCTAGACAATTTGCTGCACCCCCCCCAGCCAGAGAATCGTACAGTAGAAAAGATAATGATCAAGAAGCACCCCCCAGGATAGCCATAGCACCCCCTAAGCACCCCCAAGAAATGTATGTGTCTTTTTTTTTTTTTATGTGTGAAATTCATAATTTGAAAAATGATTGATTCGAAAATAATATGCTACAGTACAGTACAAGTAGCCTACTTCTGGGTCTCTGTGTTTCATTCAAGCTCTGCTCTGTGTGTGTGTGTGGCACGAGCCACGGAGCACGCACCGGTAGGTATCTACCGGAGATCGTTGTGGTTAGCATCTGGTGCTAGCTACGCTAACGGATATAAGGAGCTTTTTCAACAACAAGGAGGAGGGAGAACTCTCTCATGTCAGACTGAGAGTCTCAGATAACCTCAGCTCAGGTGAAGTAAAGGACTCTCTCAGTGTTTAGAGAGTTAACTTTAGTCTAAGTTATCTCAGTGGGTCTCAAACGGTTTGGTCACGATTAATGTAAATAAGTATTTCCGAGGCACACGTTTACATGATCATTATAAAAAAATAAGAGCATAAATGAAAAACAGGTATGAAATACTATATGACAGTAAAACAAGAATACAGTTTAAAGGGGACCTATCATGCAAAATGCACTTTGGTACGTCTTTTATACATGAATATGTGTCCCCGGTGTTCCAGGGAACTCACCAAGTGTCAGAAAACACAACCCTCTCTATTTTCCTCCATACCCAAATCTCTAAAAAAGGGGCTGCAACGGATCTGATAAAAACTGATCCAGATTTGAACACTGTCCTGATGTCAGGACGGTGGCGCTACGGCTATTGGGCCAACTCCACCAATCAGGAGGAGACAGCCACGGCCATTGCCGTTCGAAAGCGCTGGAGACGCTGTAGTACATATGCCAGGCCTGTAGGTGGTGCTGTTCTCACAGAATCAGCCCTTGCAAAAACAGGGCTAAGAAAGTGCAAATTGAGCGAAATGAGGCATGGCTAAAATGCATGATCTGTTTGGTATTTTGAAAAAAAAAAGGTATAAATATGCCTTATATAGGTATGGTCCTACACTATATTAGGATTAGCATGATAGGTCCACTTTAAAGGAGAGGTGTCATGGCCATTTCCACTGATCATAATTCCATTGTTGAGGTATACTAAAATAGATTTATATTGTGCATTTTTCCAAACTCACATTGGTTTCTCATACAGCATCTCTGTAAACTACTTGTATTCACTGAATTTCACTCTCTGCCTTTAACGGCTCGTTGTAGCTCCAATAGCTCCAGCCCCCACCCTCCCTGTGAGCACAGTGTGCTCTGATTGGTCGGGACGTTGTGAATCGCGCTGAGCTCCGTGGAGGTGTTGTTTCCTTGTTTAGCATACACAGCGAAACACAGCCAAACTCATCCTGAGCACACACAAAGTCAAAGCCGAAGTAAAAACAATAAGTGTGGCTTGATATTGAGTAAGAAAAAGGTTGATAAACGCTGTGAGAATGGGTCTGCAGAGAGAATTTCGCCGCGATCCCAACTGTCTGTTATCAGCCTGCAGCCAGGGAGGAGAAATCAGCAGAGAGTGTGTGTGTGTGAGGAAGTCCATGGATTGGTCAATTTGGACCAATCAGCGGGGGCTTAACGTAACGGCTCCGCGGACGTCACGTAACGGCTCCACAGATTGGTCCATTTCGTTCCGGGTACCGCATGACCGTATCGCGTCATAGCTCTGGGCGTGGCTACTGGGTGTTCACACGTCACAATGTCCAGGAAGAACATGGAAGAACATGAGAAAGTTCCAGCGAGGCGTTTTGGGGAGGTCTTTTCTGTGTTAGAGTTTTACTCCCTACAGGGTGTACTTTGAGGGGTTTTGACTCTGCAGACCATTTACATGCATAAAAACCTTCATAACACACAAGGGGACGGGTAATAACCGGAAAAGCATGACATGTCTCCTTTAAAAGGGGAGTGATTTGTAAAATATCCATAAAGAAATAGAAAATCTGTTTACAGTTCTGTTTCATATAGGTGTTGAGAGATGTATCCATAAATTCATTTTGTGCTCAAAGTGCAGCAGATTGATGCATTTAACTTCAACATTTAAAAAAAAATCTTCCCGGGGTTGCATGCCCCCAGACCCCGCTAGAGGATGTGAGGTCCACCCCCAAATAAAGCAGGTTAAAATAATTAAATTGCATACATTTTATTTTGATTGTTTGTTATGTGGATTTGTAGTATTTGTGTTACTGTATAAAGGAGTATTTAGCTAAATCTTCAAGATTTA